ATCTGACTTATTTTTCAACACTGGATAACTGATACTCACACCTGATCTGGCTACGATAGACCCTTTATGGACCTCATCAACGTCCGAAACCTTACCTTCAAGCTTCCATTTTCTGGATGCCCGTGTTACCCTAGAAGTAATACATATAAATCCAGCATTTTATCCTGCTGGTCTATCAAAGAGATTATATGTTTGGGCATTCCAACTACCATTGCCAGCCGACGATGACTGGCGTTAACCGACTGGCCTTCGATTTGGTCAAAGGGATTCTCTTGGGTATCTTGGAGTAGAAAATTCCGCAACGTGATTTGTTCCGACTAAGTGATATGGTTATTTTTTCGATTTCTTTTTGTTACATAAGAGTTGCCTCAAATAAATAACTATAAGGAATAACTGAAGGCCCGAAAAAAACCCACATTATAAACTTTTATATGCTTTAAAATTATGTTTGAGAGGCTTGTTATAAAACTACTTATCAAATAAATTAATGTTAATAGTTTCTTGAATAGTAAAAAAGAAGTGAATAACTAGTAATATTTTTACTGATTTTGCTGTAAACTAAAGATATTCAACGAAATTAATAGGAAAAAGCCATTCGAAACAGGCACCATGCCGAAAAAATAATAAACTAGTATTCACAATATCCATCCGTACGCACAATGACAAATGTCTAGAATTGTTTATGCAGATTTACAATTCAAAATATGCGAAAATAGATAAGATACATTAGCATATACAATGGCATAACATGGCGATACAATACGTGGATTGCAAAGGATAAAGACGAAGCAAGCATTCTCTGAGCTCGGAGAGTGTCTAACACTAAAATAGCCCGACAAGGGGTGTTCAGCAACCAGAAATTATAATACCTCATAGTTAATACTCATAAGTTAATGTAGTAAGCTATAAGGAAAATGACGAAGCATAAGTGAATTATAGAATACAACTAAGGTTCCCACAGATTCGTATAGCTGTATAATAGTTATTCCTTAAAGAGTTGAGAATACAAGTTAACCGCCTATAAATATAAAATCAGCATAATAAGAAGTTTAGTTTTCTTCCAGATAGACATCTCGGAAAGGTTCCAATGGGGCACAAGGCAAAAAATTCTCATAATGATTTATTAAAGATGATGGAGGACCATATTATATAATATGAATCCAAGCCGACTCCAGTACCAATGTGAAAACATATGTATCCGAATCTATAAGAGTTGATAGAGCCAAATCGAATTTGTGTGTACGCTCCATGGAGATCGGTATATTCATTTTACAAGAATTTACTTAGCACTGGTGTAATTCTCTAATACTGAGCTAGAGCAATGCATAGCGCTTAATCGAGGAATAAATTAGTCTTATTTTCAAGAAGACTTAGGGAGAAATGTCTTATACGACGTTAACCGCCATTGTTATTAATGTTCTTCCAGCAACGGATTGATAACTAGGTTGTTCCAGTAGCGTATCACTTCGACGTTCGATGTTAAGGAGGGCACTAGGCATTGACCATGAAGATGAAAGGTCTGGTAATCTACCCATTCAATGGAAGTAAGACAAAAATGGCATAGAACGCAAGATAGAGTACGTTCTTCGAGACCCCAGAGAAAATACTACAAAGATATGAAGATCAAGATGTTGTGACCTCTGGTATGGTCGCATTTTCATCAATTCCTCTTGATGCCGAAACAACCGCGTTCCTGGAAAAAGGACTCAATTTCTCAATTCAACATCACAGAAGCCTTCTAGGAGACATTCTGGTGGAGGTTATCAATATCGCCGACAAGTTCCTTGAGGAGACAAAAGAGAAAATAGATGGAACTAATTCCAAAGATCTTGAAACATCAGGAGCCTACACACAGGAACTGATTTGCTGTGATACGCAAAACCCTGCAAACGAATGAACAATTAGTCCTTCAGGCGGACAAAGGAGTAGCTACAGTAATAGTGGACAAAAATCAATATACCCAAAAGATGGAGCATATTCTAAGAGACAGGATCACATATCGTATATTAAACAAGGACCCAACTATGAAGATAAATGGAATTTTAAGTGGCATGCTAATATATGCATAGGAATGGGGAAATTGACGCATAAATAAGAAATTCAATCATAAGAAAGTATGCACGACCACCAACAGCATATGTATTACCGAAGATACATAAAGTATGGAGCAACACACAAATTAGCAAAGTTTATGTTTGAAACTCAAGAAATTAAATGAGGCTATCAAACACGGTAAAACATTCATATGAATTTTCTCAAAAAATCGAAAACATGCAGTGGAACAAACGGAATTATTGGTAAGTTTCGATGTGGAATCCATGGATACATAGATATACGAATATACATATTATCTCTGAATAAAATGCACTAAGCGCCCTGCTGGAAATCATAGACTGAGAGGAGGATATACTGGAATCACAACGGATAAGGAGGGAGTCGTTAACAAGACTAATCAACTTAACAATAAGGACAACCTATTCTACATTCAACGGGAACATCTAAAAACAAATATTTGGACTTCCCATGGGATCGCCGCTCTCACCACTTTTGACAAATATAAACATGAACAAAACAGAAAAGAACTTCAAGATGGTACCGCTACAACCGGGAGTGCTCATGCGATACTTGGATGATTATTTCGCACTTTGATCACATGGAAGAGAAAAACTGGAAGAGTATCTGAAGTTTGTAAACCAGATTGATGAAAAAATTCAATTCGCGATGGTAGCAGAGGAAGGTGACCGGTTACAGTTCCTGGATGTTGAAGTGATTTTCTCTAATGGAACGCTCAAAAAGAAATTGTTCAGAAAGAAGTCGTATACTGGGATAATAATCAATTTCCGGTCCCGTCACAATTACAGGCTAAAGATAAGAATAATGAGGAGCATGATCATCCGAAGTCTACGCATAACGGATGCATAATTCTGGGAAGAGGAGCTGGACAAATTGACGAGGATATTCCTCGGAAATGGCTACCCAATCTAAGCAATACAAAGAAACACACGGACCGTGAAAAGCCGATGGCAGAACGGGGACTATGAAAGAACATTAAGGACGATGAAGGATTAACAAAAGTGGATATGCCTACCTTCCTGCGAACTAACTCAAAAACTACGGCCAATATTGAGTAAATGGAATATTCAGATGCCCATGAAAGAGAAATCAACACTTTGCACAAACCTATCGACGCAACATGAAAGCGTAGATAAATTGGATTGTTCAAGAGTTTACTTTATATCATGCTGCGCCTGCGAACATAAATATTTTGAAGAAACAGGGAGAAAATTAGTACACTAATCAAAGTACATCAGAGATTCTGAATGAAAGCCTATACTGAAAGATCAGAACTAGCGGAACACATCGCACGAACTGGATACGAGATCAATTGGAAGGCAACAGAAAGAAGAGCCCCATACGGTGGCAATACAAGGAAGCCATTGACATCCTTGGGGAGAAAGATCTTATGAACAGAAGATTGGAGGAAGGTAGAGTTAGCGATAACTTTGCCTACTGCTCAAGCAAACTCGAAAACAATAATAGAGCAAGACCAGCAGAAACGAGACGTCTGGATCAAGGATCTACCGCTAACCTGAGGTAAAGGGATCGCGATGAAGAAAGTGGGGAGTAGGGGATTTCGGCAATCAGGCGAAGACGTTGTCAGTAAGTGATGTCCGTTTCGAATAAACCAGTACAACTTTGGGGGCATGGCAGTCATGGAGCTGGGCAGGCCGTCATGGGAATTCGGCGTTATGGCCAAAATGTACCACAAATCCACTTGAGATGCCGCATACGACCATAGATATGCGTCCACAGTTTGCTCCGAGAACCTGGGTTTATCAAGGAGAGGACCCGTAAAGGGAAAGCCTGCAAGCATGGAAATCAGAGCTTAGTCGCTCTGCTCAGTGAAGCGGCAGTGTACATGCTTCTAGGGCCTTGAGAAATAGGGCCTAGAGTGAAATGCACACTGGGACTAAAACCGAATGAAATCGGTCAATCAGAAAGATAAGGAACAGATCTACGATACAATGAGGGGATCCGGATTAGATGCCAGAGTCGGAACTGACTTCACTTGTCTCTTTGACGAGTTCATATCTTAGTGCTGGGAATAGCAAGATTCACTGATGATGCCGGCAAAACGCTTTGAGAATGAACCAAGTCTACTGTGTGATGCTGGGAATTATGACAACTACTATGGCAGACTTGGTGCGTTCCACTAAGTCGCCCTGACAACAAGACCAAGTTGCT